GGGTACATTGTGGTCATAAAGGGATGGACATGGTCAGCAACAATACTCAGGTAGGCTGTGGCGTTGCAACGATGCTCAATTGGTACCAAGGGGCCCAAAGAGTGCCAAGAAAATATTCCCCACACCATGACACCACCACCACCAGCCTGAACCGTTGATACAAGGCAGGATGGATCCATGCTTTCATGTTGTAGACGCCAAATTCTGACCCTACCATCCGAATGTCGCAGCGGAAATCGAGACTCATCAGACCAGGCAACGTTTTTCCAATCTTCTATTGTCCAATTTCGATGAGCTTGTGCAAATTGTAGCCTCAGTTTCCTGTTCTTAGCTGAAAGGAGTGGCACCCGGTGTGGTCGTCTGCTGCTGTAGCCCATCTGCCTCAAAGTTCGACGTACTGTGCGTTCAGAGATGCTCTTCTGCCCACCTTGGTTGTAACGGGTGGTTATTTGAGTCACTGTTGCCCTTCTATCAGCTCGAACCAGTCTGGCCATTCTCCTCTGACCTCTGGCATCAACAAGGCATTTCCGCCCACAGAACTGCCGCTCACTGGATGTTTTTTCTTTTTCGGACTATACTCTGTAAACCCTAGAGATGGTTGTGCGTGAAAATCCCAGTAGATCAGCAGTTTCTGAAATACTCAGACCAGCCCTTCTGGCACCAACAATCATGCCACGTTCAAAGTCACTCAAATCACCTTTCTTCCCCATACTGATGCTCGGTTTGAACTGCAGGAGATTGTCTTGACCATGTCTACATGCCTAAATGCACTGAGTTGCCGCCATGTGATTGGCTGCTTAGAAATTAAGTGTTAACGAGCAGTTGGACAGGTGTACCTAATAAAGTGGCCGGTGAGTGTACTTAACAATATTAAACACCCTCAGAGGAAAAAACATGAACATTTTACTTATCAAACACCCTTTATTCCATTTTTTCCCGTTTGTTGTCTTCCGCGTTATCAGGGGCCGGGTCGTTGCAGCAGCAGTCAAAAGCAGAGACACACAGATTTTCCTCTCCCTAGACATCTCAGACTTAGACTCTATTTATCCCTTGGGATTACTCCTTCAGGGAAATTCTGGTTCCAGTAGCTTATATAGAATACAAAGGGCAGAGTTAAATCAAGATGCCATTAAAGATAAGAATACAACAGACAACATAAAAACAGTGTATATAGTACAAAAGAGCATAAAAAGTTGTAATGTCCTGGAATATGTTTCCTTTAGATGTAAAAAATATCTGCACCCTAGAGAGCTAAGGAAAGACTATAGTTGACTTGGCTTATTGCCCTTGCATTATTGAAAAGTACTGACCATATAAATAGGTAAAAAATTATACAGATTACATAGTAGTTATTGCACTTGTACTGCAGAGATGTACTGACCTTATAATTAAGTGAAATATTACACACAGTACACAGTAGTTGGCATGTGTCATTGCATAGTGAGAGAGAAGAATATTGCACGAGTGACAGCATGTAATGTTTTTGCACAAAACGTCCAAGGTGTGTGCTGACCCTTGTCCCTCTTCTTATCACCCCCGCCTTCCCCTAAGTGAGGAGTTGTACAGCTTGATACCTTTATGAACAAAGGAGTTTAGCAGTCTGTTGGTCCTGCATTTGGGGAGAAGCAATCTCCCACTGATCAGGCTCCTCTGAGTTGTGAAGACAGTGTGCGTAAATCTCCAGGTCCATTCTGTCCTCACTTGTAAACAGGACCCCAAGGTACTTTGACTCCTCAATTTGAGACAGAATATCTCCTCCAACTTAAAGAGGACAAGCCTCGTTTTCTTCCGGCTGAGTGTCATGGCTTTGGATTTGGAGGAGCTGATTCTCATCCAGGCTGCTTCACAGGACCGGGGACTGAAGGCAGCCCTGTTGGAGTCCAACATGAAGCAGGAACAGGTCTGACTTAATGTGGACCAAACTCCTGCTCCGCGTGTACAGAGACCAGATGGTCCCTAGTAAAGCGCCCAAAACTCAACATTTCTGAAAATACCCCAAACAAGGCATCCTTTAATCTTTAAAAGAAAAAAGAAAAACATTTTATTAAAGATATAAGCTTGTGCTGGTGCAGTGGAGTAGGTGTTGGTGGGATGTTGGTATGTCAGTGAGAAGGGAGATGAGGTTCAAGAGAACTGTTTGCTGTCCCTTCCTTTATTGAGGAGCATGCTCTGTTTGTCAGAAAGCTACCGATCAAGGAACAAAGCTGTGCAAATATATCCAGGTTCTGGAGCTTCAGGGCCAGCACCCTAATCAGCTGCTTCTAGATAAGGCAGAAAACATTCAGTTGGCCTTTTTAAATTATGAAATGACCTGATCTCCCTGAAACATTTGAACAGGTTTGAACAAGAAATGGCAAGTTGGTAAAATAATGCTTTTCAATATTGTAAATGTCAAACAAATCATTGGTATACATAAAATATTAGCCTTTCACGTCCTAGATCAGGGGTATCCAAAGTGAGACTATTAGGGCCCTCGGAATAATATTTATGTTGCAAGGGATCCTACACAAACTCATAGGATTGGCATAAGATTAATTTAAGAACTTTCTGTTCATGGGTCAACCTCCTGATTGCCTTTCTTGACTCAATCCCCAAGCATGTCTAATTTTAGGTCGCCCACCATAGTCCGACCATCTAAATTGTTTACGTTGTTCTTCTAGCTCTTCTACTCAAGCCCCCTTCACTTGCTCCACACGTATACTTCCTTTTTGTTTTTTGTTCAAGCCCTCCTTCCAAAGTCCCCTCCACCTACCTGGGTTTGGTTGGTTTTATTTATGTTTTTTTCCCCTGGACTCTATTTGGGTGTCTGGTGTCACTGTGCCGAGTGTTTTGCAGCTAACTTTCTTGTAATAACTTTGGTGTTCTAGTCACTCTATTACTCAATTACTCTTTGTGTATTATTGACTGGGCCCTGCTAGTGTCTTCCTTCTATTACACTCTGTTTGCCACTGTTGTATCATTTTCACTTAGCCAGAACCATGAGCTATAAGCAGATTTCCTTCATGTCCCTTCTCATTTTACACATTGCTTTCACCTGTTTCCCCGTTATTTAAGCCTTTGGTCTGTTTTCAGTCTTCAATAGATTATTTGTTTTGTCTCCATTCTCTTCATTTGTAAACTTGCTTTATTGAATTTTCAACTAACCGTTCTTCTTTCTAGTGCCATTTGCACTTTGGTCTTCAATATCTTACAAATGTTGTATATGTTCGCAGTCTCAAATCTGATTATATTCATACCTACAGAAAAGAAAAGAAGTGGAAATATGTTCCAGTATATTTGTAATGTAATTCTGGGTACCAAGATGTATTAGCTTTTAATAGTATGTTCATCATCTTATTATGTGTAGAATTGTTTGCATCAAGACCATCATGTTTGCACCTCTAGTATTATTTTATAGGAGGCCCAAATCAAAACGAGATTATGTACTGTAGATCATTTACATGAAACACCTTACAGTATATGATACTGGATGCTGTTCCTGCTGCAGCTGGACTTAATCCAGCAGTTAAAAGATGCAGACACACCATGAAGTCATTGTTTCAAGCTGTCACTAACAAACTACAGGTAACTTACATTAAACCTCCTCAGGCATTTCAAAAAGGACCCTTAGGTTTGCGCTACAGAGCTTTTTATCAGACAGCAACTCTTACATGGAAATAGTTTCTTTACCCAGGCCGTCCCTCTGATAAACGCAATGGATAGCTCACTGCCAGGATAGTCAGCTACCATGCTGTAAAAAAAATGGCTTATCTCCTTAAAAAAAGACAGAAGATAGGCTAAACATGGTCATCTGTACATGCTTTACTTATCCCTACTAATAATTTTTACATACTGTGTTTGATTTTACATCAATTATTGTTTGTGCTTGTGATTATGATGCGAGTGAGGGAATACAAGGTCAAATTCATTTTTTTGTGTTAATTCTGATTCTATTCAATGCTTTGAAATTATTTTCAGTCTAATAGATGTTTATTGCATTCTTTAACAACTACTACTACATATATTATAATGGCAGTAATATATTTTGTGAGTTACTTCTTTTTTTCTGTCTAAAAACAAAGTAAATTATTTTATGTTAACAGTATCCATCCATCCATCCATCGGCAGTAATATATTTTGTGAGTTACTTCTTTTTTTCTGTCTAAAAACAAAGTAAATTATTTTATGTTAACAGTATCCATCCATCCATCCATCCATCCATGTAATTTTTAAATCACAGTTGACATACTTTGAAAATCTTTAACTGGCCATGCTTATTTGAACTATTAATTGCTGATCCAACCTGTAACTATCATTCTACAAATATAGACTTTATTAATATGAATCACATTTAAGTCAAATAACACATTTATCATATAGTTATAAAGTATTTAGGTAGAATTTGAATAAAGTAGTTCATTTTAATAGAATTTAACCATTAGCAAAGTAAACTCCTGAGCCTATTTTGATAATTGGATAGTTATGAAAGTAATTTCTCATACTTTTTTTTTTTATTTTTTTTTTTTACATTCGATAAAAAAACAAACAAACAGAAAAGCATTGAGATTTAGTAAAACAGCAGCCTGATAAAAGTCTAATCACAGCTCTCCTTATTGTTCAGGGAAAATCTGAGAGGGTCACATCCACAATAATTACAATGCTGGAAGAGATGTAGTCTACATCGCCATCTAGTGGTGTGGGAAGATACTGTATGTAAGCGCCATAAAACACTGACTACAAGGTTCCTGCTCTTACTTTTTAACTTATTGTGGTACTCATAAAAGGTTTGCATTCTATTGATTAAAAGGCTGAAATGTAAGATTTCTTGTGTGCACCATGTTTTAAATGAAAAAATATATGATAAAGTTATCTTTTTGTAGCTGTTGAAGGAAAACCTCTAGGGGAGGTATCTTTCATTAAAATAGCTTGTAGTGTGCTGTTCTCTACACTTCCTCATTGGTGTCTAAGTAAAACAAAAGACACTGTGTAATGGTTAACTCACTAAGCTTTGCTCTGAGCTCAGATTACCTGAGAGGAAAGTGGGTGAATGTGACCTTAACAGGCCGTCTGTCCATTTTTCCTTTCTTCAGGTTTTTGCTTCTTACTGTACTTCTTACTGTACCTCCCAATGCTCTGATATCATGGAATTTTTTTTTGTTGATTTTGTTTTTTTAAAAACCAGTCTGGCAGCTTTGGAAAATTGAAAGCTAAGGGACTTTTTTTTCATTAACTGAAAGCAAAACTTAAGCTCTTACCTGAGCTGTCTTCCACAGGTAAGGTAACACTGTTTTTCTGCTTCTTGTCCTTTGGACAGATTAGGATTTATTTACGCTTAAAGGTGAGCTCAGATTATAATCCAGAGGTATTGCATACTTCTCCTTAGCCTTGTTATTCATGCTGTTCTTTTGTCTTGTTTTGTCTCCAGCATATTACTTTGTTATAGTTTTCATTAGTGGTAAGATTCAATCAACATTAATTACTTTATTATGTAGGAAAAAATACTAAAATGTGTTTATTATTGATTTCTGAAGAATGTATTTGAGTGAGCTGTGATTATTCGTGATGTTTGCTTTAGGAACTGCTATAGTATGATATGGTTTGGTTTTTTATTAGCATTTTCATAGCACCATGTTTCTAACTTATAAACACACATATACGGCAGGCGCGCTGGAAGCTGTTTCAAGCGAGGGGGGCTGATGGCTGGGTTGGAAAACACATGACGTCATTATGTTGAGGGCTGTGGCTGACGTTTTTAACATATTATAGTAGGCCTAAATTTGTCACCAAAAACTGCCATTTAAAATGCATCGGAACAAAGCATGAACATTTTAAACTTTATTTCTTCTCTTTTAATCATTCAAAACAAACAACAGCTCCCAATCAACAGGATCAGGAATACTTGAATAAAACATGGCCTAAATATAGCCTAAACTGAGCATTGAACGTCTTGAAAGTCCATTCGACTATGGATATGGGGAATGATTTCATATCTGAAACAAAAAACACACACACAAAAAAAAAAAATTAACAAATTTCATATTTTATCACTAAATAGCTTAAACAGACATAATATTTAGTAAAATATGCAGCCTTATTCTAGCGTAGACTTCTTCAGCCACAGGACTAAGAGGAATAGGCACATAACTAACGCTAAATGCGGCAGTGTAGGGGATTTAAAACCATTTCTTACCTCGAAATAGTCAGAAATACGTTTCTGCTGCCTATTGCTAGCCATGCCTAAACGAATGTGAGGTGGCGGAAGCTTCCGGGGGAGTAGCCTAGTTTTTTATGAAATATTAAAATAATAAATCATTAGTTTATATCTTATACACAGCCCATCATTTTAATCACATATCAAACACAGTCTTTTAAAAAAATAAATACATAAATAATTTCATGTTTTTAAGTACAATATTATGTTACTCCACAGCCCCCCACCATGGGGGGCTGATGCTATGACGAGGGAGGCTGCAGCCCCCGCAGCACCCCCCTTCCCGTGCCACTGATATACGGTAGTTTTTATTATGAAAAAACGAGAAACTCTGTCAGTTGAATTAATGCTTGTTTTATGCTCTATAGCTTCTGTACATGTTATTGTGGCTTTGAGTTGAAATCCTCTGCTTTATGCATAAATTAACAGAGGGGAAAGCTAATATGATGCAGAACAGATGTAAAGTGAAAGTAAAAATGAGATGCACCAAACAGAACCCATTGTGATTTTATCTGACCCAGTGATGTATATAATAACTAAAATATAACAGTTAAATAGTCTGAGTAAATTAAATTGTCTTTAGAATTGAACGGTTTAAGAAAAAATTATGCTAGATTCTGTCCCTGTCTTAATCAGAGAAATCTAACAGATTAAAGGGAAACCCTCAGTTTGTTATTAAGCATTAAATTCTCCCGAACCCCCCCCCCCAACACACACACACACACACACACACACACACACACACACACACACACACACCAGCAACACAGAGCATCTTTCTGTTGCAATCAATTAATTTGCAAAGGTGACACCAAACCATGTGTTTAGGAGATAGCTGCCAAACACTTGTTAGTCTTTTAATTTCACCTTTCTTTTTTCTAAACAGAAACAATTATGACAGAATGTTAATTATAGTTTTCACTAACATAATTAATTGAGTAAAAAGTTAGATTTTCAAATATAGCTAAAATTTCTATCCATTGTCACAAATATGTAATTTTATTATTAACATTTTCTTTCTTTAAAAGAATAAAACTGAGCAACTTAATATGATCAACTTGATCTTTTCTGCTGACTTCTAGCTCTGTATTATAGCTGTTTTGATCAGTACCTTATATATCTGTATCTATTTAGAAGCATATTACACCTTTTCCATTCTTAAATCTTTATTAATAAAGAATATTTCTGCTGCTGAAAATGAAATTCGTGTTCTTACTAAATTATTTAAATTACCCCCTCAATGAGTGTTTATGAGACCTGATATAGACGTGCTGGTTGGTACAGATTTCTGCTGTGATCGATCAATCAATCAATTCATCAATCTGAATTCAAAGCCAAATCTGAATTCAGCAAATATTGCATTCATAACAGGAACTACAATAAAAAAAAAAACAAAAAAAACTTTGGATTTCTAATTACCTTTATTTCTAAATCTTGAGAAACATATTTTGCTATCTTAAGCATTGCAAACTTAATAAGGAAATCTTTAAATTACACTGAGCTAACAATTAAGGCAAAGTTAAAAATGGTTAGGAAAGTTAAATATAGTTAGAAACTATAAATGAAGATCACCTTTTAGGTAAAAAACAAAAACAAAACATATACACTCCCAAACTAAAGCTGATCAGGCTTAAAAACTATCAAGTTTGCAAATGACCTACTTTCTAAGTAAACGTCTATGAAAAAAAAAAATACTAAAAGAAATATAAACGCTGAATATAATTTTATGTTTTAGAACTTTAACCTTACTTACCATACCTGAAACATTAATGATTTACTCTCTGTTGGTAACTATATAAATAAACTATAAAAAATAATCAAATCTTTTATCATAGCTCATTGCTGGCAGACTGCTTATTGGAGTTGGAAAAAAAGTCCAGAGGGAGATCCATCAGTGCGGCAATAACTAACTGTGACGACCGAGAAGGATTGGATGAGAGGTAAGACGTCAGAAAAGTCTCTATCTTATGTTTAGAATTTTTGTTTTGGCATGTCTCTCCTATGGTAGCTTGTTGTCAGAACAGCACAGATGTGTTATGAGTAAACAAAGCATGTCTCAAGCTGCTAACTACAGTCACAAGGGCCAATAACACAGCAAATCCACTGAGGAGGAGCACAGTGGGACTGCCTTTCCTTTTTTTCTGTGGATTTTTAAGTTTCTGACATTTCCTCCTGGCAATTTTATTCTTCAGGGTCAGAGTGCTCCCAAGTTATGGATAAGTCCAGCGATAACCCAGAGGAGGACAGAGTATCCCTTAGGAGCAACGGGAAGATGCCAGCAAATGGAATGGCGAAAGAGGTTCTGGGTGCATTCCAGTCGTTCAGGCAAAGCATTAGACGTCCTTCGGAAAAGAGTCCCTTTTCACCGAAAAGCAAGGACTCAAAGGTCACATCCAGTGTGCAGGCACAAGTCAGTACAGAGTCTTCCTTTTCTTCACCACCAACATCACCCAGTGAGTATATTCAGTCAGTCATGAACTCTGCTCTGATGTGATGTTTTAAAACAGGGCCCTTTGGCAACATTTAATTATTTATTTTATCCTATTTTTAACTTACACACCAGGTTTCACAAATTTACACTTGTAGCTGTTTTTTTTTTTTTTTTTTACACTAGGGGATATTCACAAACAAATTTCCAACAAAACCCATTGTCAAAGGTTGTTGAAAACTTTTTCTGCTGATGTTTGTACCGTAAATAAGATGATATGTGGGAACTTGGGAACCAAAGCATAACCTGGCTGTGGCCAAAATGATAGGGTGACAAAGGGACTATTCTGCTTCATTCTCATCAACATTATAAAGCAAAAATAACTACTATAAAGCAAAAATAACTACTATAAATCAAAAATAACTATTTGTTTATTTATTTTATTTTATTTTTTTGTCATATTAGAACCACAACATTCAATTAGATTAAATTAGATAGAACTTTATTGAGAAATTCACTTTTGACATTGGCTTTTATGAACAACAGAAGGTGCATAAAGGAGGAAAGGTTGCATGAATTTTAAACTGTGCATCCAGTTATATACAATAGAGGGTAAAAAAAATAAAGGATAGATTTAAGGTGACTTACAGTAAGGATTTAAGGTATGCACAATAATGTGGTGGCAGGTAAAAAAAAAATAAAAAAAAATAAATAAATAAAATAAGTAAGGTGCCTAAGGTTCAAAAAGATGGATCTGCAGCTGTAAATGGGGGTAAATAAAGAAGCACATAAAACTTTTTTGATTTTATCTGCAAGAAAAATAATGAAAATCATATATTATTTTCCTTCCACTTCATTTGGAGATTGCAATATTGGGAAATGTGAAAAAATTGTAAAGGCTTTAAATGTTTTTGCAAATATTTCATGCAAAAATGGCAAAATCTGAAACAAATATTTTGAAATTGTAAATAAATTACATTCTTTTATTAATCTAAAAAAGTGATACTGGCATAGTTGAGATGAAATATATATTGCCCCTGACCAGTCACTGAAGTATGGATAGTAGAACAGTACATTCAGCAAATTGACTGGCTATACAATACTTGGAAAATAAAGTTTAAATGGAAACTTGTGATTACAGTGGTTCATAGATCAAAATAGTCTGATTTTCTGCAGAAGTTGGTCCTGAGAAACTTTAGCAGTAACATAGAACAGGAAAATCTCTAAGAAAAGGTCAAACCTTGTTGCATAAATAGAACCTATTTGTCACATCAACATATCATCTCAGACAAAGGGCCTCTACTAAAACCCCAGTAATTAAGGCTTTCTTCAAGCAGATTACAAACTTATTTAAAGTTAAACTGAAACTTGTGGTTCCCACTCGGTTTCTCTGCTTTGTCCTGTTTAGGCATCAAGGTGCTTATAAATAACACAGCTGTTGAGAGATTAGATCCAGAGAAACCAAAGAAAATTTGTAATTAATTAATACACTTTACCATGATGTTTAATGAACAACTTTAACAAGAATATTTTACATATATATATATATATTTATTTTATTTTATTGCTACAACATAATTTAAAGCTATTATGATTTATTCCCCACTGCTTAACTTTTACTGGTGTTTTAATTTTGCTGCCTAGCTGTCAGTCAACAGAACCTCAATCTCCTAACAAGTAGAATTTTTCTTCCTTGTTTTTGATGCCTTTTCTCACAAGCTCGGGAATATTCACCATTATAGGGCATTTTTGGGTTGGAAATGATCGAAACGTCCATTTCTCATGAACTGCCAACTTATGCAGAGGTGGCAGGACCATTTACTATAATTTACTGCAGAAGTTGTTGATTCTGATGTGGCACAACCATAGGAGCAAGACAAGAATCTGAAAATGTTGTTGGATGAGGCCCATTGTTCAGAATTACAAGAGAGTGACAATGGTTTCTTCTACTATGCAGAATGATAGCACATCTTCATCCCTAAAAAAGTAACTGCCAGCCTGCCAGTGAGTTTTTTTCAATGTTTATTAAATCCTTCAACAACTAAACATACAGTGAAATCGATATATAATATATATCGAAATATAATATCAGGATGGTAAAGTATACAACAGTAAAGTAATTATACAGAGAAGGACTTCAGTTTTAACATTTTACCCCCTGAGCCCCTCCTAATCCTCCCATAGTCCCCCCACCCCATCCAGCAGAAGGAGCTAATGCGAAAAAAGATAAAGTAAAAAAAAAAACAAAAACAAAAAAAAAAACACATATTTTTATTCTGGACCGATATTGTTTGAGTCTTTCCTCTATGGTTTTAAGAAGGGTTCCCACATACTCTGATATACCTCAATCTGACTTTTTATCTTATCTGTTGTTAAGTTTTGAATTCATAAGGTTTGAAATTTCCTTTAGACATTCCCCTGCCAAGGGGAATTTACATAAATAAGCAGAACTGGTGAACACTGAAAAAAAGCAAAAAAAAAAAAAAACATCAGCAGTTTGTCACCATAAGTCTGTCCTCACAAACCTAAAAACCTTGTATTTTCCAAAATGATAATCCAAAATGATAATCACTTTAGCGAGTCTGTTAATGCACACTGTCTAAAAGGGTTTGCTTCTTGGGAGCGGGCAAAGGTTTGTGCATGTGCAAATAATTTTTAAGCGGAGAGGGCGGTCTTTTCGAAAATCCTCCATTTTACCTTTACTTCTGATTTCATCCTACCTGAACGAAACAAAGCATTTAAATCTGAACAAGTTGATGGGTAACATTCACAACATAAGTAATTACACATGTTTATCTATTTTTAGCAATAGGTAAGGCTGCGCCAAGCCTTACAGTATTCTTTATGTGTTTTGTAAGTTGCTGCGTTATCTGATTTTCACATTTTAAAAAGCATAAGGCCTTTCCTGTAACACAGTGACCAAATTCATCCTGATGTCTGTTTCATTTACCAAGAGTCATGTGATTCTGTGTAAATATTTATTACCAACAAACATGTTGTGCAAAGTCCCCTGGACAAACCTGCTGCCTTATTCATTCACTAAGCAGCCTGTTGTGCTTTCAACCTGATTTAGTCTGCATTTCTCTGCCACGTCATCAGCAGAAAGCCCAATCACTCACAGACACAAAGTAAATTCCCATGACTGGTTTAATAGAGGTAAACCTGCTGACACATTACTGAACACAGGATATTTACTGAATTTATTCATATACTATTACTTTCCCACCAGGTCTTAGTGCTGGCTCTCCAGCAACGACACCCTTTAAGGCCATCGGGGGTTCCTTTCAGAAAAATGATGAAGATCAGCCGGACATCGTAACACAGAAAAAAAAGCCGATAACTCGTTCAAAGTCAGGTATGTTGGTCAATGATAAAAACCGGTTTGTGTTCTTTTTCCCTGTTCATTCACTACTGTTTTTCTGTCAACAAGAAATATGACTAGACATGTTTATGTGGGGTTTGGAACCTTGGAACTGTCAACAACATGTGTTAATATAAATATAGTTTAGCAGCTAACCTGAGACATAAAAATGAGCTGGAGCTTAATACTGATATCCTTTCGTACATATTGGCATTTCCTTTATTGAACTCAGGATGATCTGATGATCAAATTAAACGCTCAAAATGGCCAGAAAAAGAGAACTTTCATCTGAAACTCGACAGACTATTCACGTTCTTAGAAATGAAGGCTATTCCATGCGAGAAATTGCTAAGAAATTGAAGATTTCCTACAACGGTGTGTACTACTCCCTTCAGAGGACAGCTAAAAACAGGCTCTAACCAGAGTAGAAAAAGAAGTGGGACAACTGAGCAAGAAGATAAGTACGTTAGAGTCTCTAGTTTGAGGAACAGACGCTTCACAGCGTTGCACAACTGAGCAAGAAGATAAGTACATTAGAGTCTCTAGTTTGAGAAACAGACGCTTCACAGGTCCCCAACTGGCATCTTCATTAAATAGTATTCAGGGCAGAGTGGCCAGAAAAAGCCATATCTGAGACTGGCCAATAAAAGAAAAAGATTACGATGGGCAAAAGAACACAGACATTGGACAGAGGAAGACTCGAAAAAAGTGTTTTGGACAGATGAATCCAAGTTTGAGGTGTTTGGATCACAAAGAAGAACGTTTGTGAGACGCAGAACAAATGAAAAGATGCTGGAAGAATGCCTGACGCCATCTGTTAAGCTTGGTGGAGGTAATGTGATGGTCTGGGGTTGCTTTGGTGCTGATAAGGTGGGAGATTTGTACAGGATAAAAGGGATTCTGAATAAGGAAGGCTATCACTCCATTTTGCAACAACATGCCATACACAGTGGACAGCACTTGATTGGAGCCAATTTCATCCTACAACAGGACAATGACCCTAAACACACCTCCAAATTGTGCAAGAACTACTTAGAGCAGAAGCAGGCAGCTGGTATTCTATTGGTAATGGAGTGGCCGGCGCAGTCACCAGATCTGAAGCCCATTGAGCTGTTGTGGGAGCAGCTTGACCGTATGGTGCGCAAGAAGTGCCCATCCAACCAATCCAACTTGTGGGAGCTGCTTCTGGATGCGTGGGGTGCAATTTCTCCAGATTACCTCAACAAAGAATGCTAGAATGTCAAAGGTCTGCAATGCTGTAATTGCTGCAAATGGATGATTCTTTGACGAAAACAAAGTTTGATGTAAAAAAAAAAATCTTATTTCAAATACAAATCATTATTTCTAAGCTTGTCAATGTCTTGACTCTATTTTCTATTCATTTCACAACGTATGGTGGTGAATAAGCGTGACTTTTCAGGAAAACACAAAATTGTTTGGGTGACCCCAAACATTTTAAAAGTAGTATATATATATATATATATATATATATATATATATATATATATATATATATATATATATATGTTTTTTTAATGAAGTAAATTTATCCAATTAAATAGTTACTAACAACCTCTGCTTGACAGAGAGAGACAGCTGAAAATGATCAAGCAGATCACTGTAATATATTTATTAGTCATCTTGTTATTTGCCGACATTCTAACGCTCTCACTGTCTTTCATTCTGAATAAACTCCAGAATAAACTGTCATTAAAAATACTTATTTTGTTTTTACTACTTATGCTGGTGAAGCTTCTCAGTCATCCAGGTCATACTCTTTCCAATAAAAGTTAAAAAACAAAACCACTGGACCTTATTTCCAAGTTTAAAGACGTTTCGCTTCCCATCCAGAAAACTTTCTCAAATCAAAATCTCTCACTACTCGGCGCTACTCCAGACATTTTGAATTGAGAAAGCTTTCTGGATGGGAAGTGAATCGTCTTTAAACTTGGAAATAAAGTCCAGAGGTTTTGTTTTTTTAACTTTTTTTTCGAAATAATATTTCTTACAGCTTTCTTGCCTCTCTGACCTCGGTCTGCACACTTTACAGACATTGAAAGAGCTTTCTGAGTCTACTGCACAGTAACAGCAACCGCTTTGCAATAGCGCTTATGTGTGATGCATTCACTGCCAATAGATTTTTGCTGCTTTATCAAAGTTCCTTGCTTTCATTCTCAGATACCAACACGTCTAAGCTGGGTGACTCCCTTATGAAGAAAGGAGCCTCCATTCGAAGAAGTCTGAGATTTAGCTCGAAGAAGGAAAATGATAAAACAGGGAGAAAGGACTCTGCTGTCTCCGAGGCCCTACCAGAGATTATGGATGACAAGGAAGCTGAGGAGGAGGAGTTGTCGGAGGTTGATGAATTGTACTCACTACCTGAAATACCTCACACTCCGCTCTCAGGTATACAACCCTGCATGATAGTTCATGCCTTCTTGAACCATTAACTTGTTTTTTTTGTGTGTGATTCTTTTCTTCTGTAGCTGAAGCAAGCAACTAATGGAGAGATTTTCTATTTTTAAAAATGCTACATCTAGAAAGGAAATGGATTGTTTTCCATCTATTTAGATACTAAAAAACCTTTTTGTCAGAGAAGTTTTTTAAAAGTCAGAACACTCTGCGTAGGGGAAGGTCTTAGAAAGGTGCAGCTGAGTCACTAAAAAGGACTAAAAACCATAATTGTTTTTATTATATATAATTTAAAATGTTTAGATTTTGAAAACGTGAATTATGAGTTATGAATAAAAAGTTTTGTGACAGAAAATGTGGAAACAGAATGTTAACTTAACGAAACATACATTTCCAAAAATAAATTTGCACTCTCTATGCACAATGAAATTTATAAAATTGACATTTTATAGCACGGCAATACAGAAACATACAGCCACGCACACAATTAACACTTAGAGACACCATGTTTACCTAATAAACATGCTTTTGGACTGTAGAAGAAAGCCAAAGCACCCCAAGAGAACCCCCACTTGCATGGCGAGGAAATCCATGCCAGTTCACAGCGCATTTCCTCTCACTTCATCTGAAATTCCCTTTACAGAGATTTTTCAATGAGATCCCCCGGATAGTTTGGTTCAAAATCTTTCTATCTAAAGAAAACATTGCATCTAGTCACTGACTTTGGAGGATTCGCTCCTCCTCTGGTGATAATATCAGCTTGCATTATTTTTGACTCTACAGCAAACCTTTAGGAATGCATGCAGCCATAGTGGGGGAAAAAAACAATAAGAAGAATGTGTTTAGAACACAACACAAGGTGCTGGACTCCACCAAGTTGGCCTTAAAGGAACAGTGTCTAAGAAAGTCATGGTCTTAAAGAAGCCATAAGCAATCATGTTAGCTTTCAACACTCTTTATTTGCACAGAAAATATTTGAAACAAAAACACTGACCTACAAAAAACTTCATGTGAGGATAGAAAAAAGCTAAACGTTTATGATACATATGCCCCATAAACATATGTAGATGGCAGCGTCAAGCTATTTGGATATTTTTTTCAAAGGTAACAGAGAAGGTGGTCAGAGCTGAAAGAAGCTACTGTAGGAAATGCATTAAGACCAGTTAGAGACGATCTGGGAAATCATCAGATTAAAAAGAATTTAGATATTTTTGAAGTTGCAAAGGTTGCAATGTTCAGCCAACAAATAATTCAAAGCTGCAACTTTGTCTTCTCTTGTTCCCACTTTGTCCACATGCATATGTATTTATCTCTGTTTTTGCAACAGAAGCAGCCATTGATAATAATCTTGTTTCTTTTGTAAAAACATCACATTACATAATACATATGAAGTGCAAAAGTTCAAGTTGGAAGAGAATTTGGTCTGACTAATAAAGAGTCATGAAAGGTTTAGTTTATGCAGGCATGCATGCATGCATGCCAGCATGGCTTTAATGAATGAAATCTTACAAAGAAAACTGACTAATTTCAATAATCCTTTAGTAACTGCCATTTTGCACCGAATAATATTGTACTACTTGCATATGGTGCGTTTATGTATTGTAAAAACGTCAGATTTTGAGTTTCCAATCACTCCATCCATTGACAGAAATATTAAACTTTAACTGATAAGCTCCTGCTGAATCTTCTCCAGGCTTTCTGTCTTTGTTTTTTTATAAAAAGCATTCTAATAAGGCTTTTTAACTTCTGGAATATTTAACAGATAAAGGCTCTTAAATCAAGGCATTACCCAAAGCTTCATAAAATGTGCAACTTGGCAAACAACAGATATCGAACAGGGCTGTGATGGCTGCTTGTGACTAGTTACAGAAATTTGTGTTAAATTTGCAATAGATTTGTAACTTGCATTAAAACTACATACTCTGTTCTGCTCCCTTGTGTCAGGTAATAATTTTAGACTGGTTGACAATGAATTAAAATCAAGGGAATAACCATTTGAGCATATTTTTTTCAGCTTCTAATGAATTAGATTGAAACAGTAAAAGTGTTCTGATGTCTGAATACTCTGTGGATTTAGGGGAAATAATGTTTTTTCAATTTGTTATTCTGATTTTTTACCTCCAGTTATGCAGATCAACAAGCTAATCGAGATGGAGGTGCTGGAGGAGGCTCATCTGAACCTGCTTGCCATGCGGCAGGAGTTTCAGAAGGAGCAGGAGCAATCTGGGGATGACTCCCCTATGGAATTGGCCAAGAAAGAAAAAGACCTGGTCCTTCTTTATAATGACCTTCGGAAAAAGATTTGCACCATAGTCTGTGATTCCAACTCTCTTCCTGCCAGGAATAAAGCGCTTCTGGTACACTTGGCACGTATTATCCAGGAGGAGGAGAAGAGGGCTGAGGAACCAGGAGGGCTACAGGACAGCTGGAGAGAGGCCTGGAGGGAGGCGGTATCTGACGGTGTACTGGCCAAGGTGAAAAGTGTTCATCTGGACAGTAAAGAACAGAATCGGTCATGGTTGGCAGTTCATCTTGGACTCCTGGGAAAAATCATTGTGGAGGATTTGATGATTGTAAAGCAGGAACTACGATGGTCCTACCCACCCAGCTTTAAAGTCTTCAGCACTTATGTTAGGAGCTACCAAAGAGTCCTCGGGCAGCACTTGAAGAAGCTGGAGTCTCAAGTGACTGAGCTGAAGGATGTGTATGCTCTGCTAGATTGGATTCTCCACACATACAAGAGGTGAGAGGATAAGAGAATTAGAGGGATGCCAATCTGCTGCTCTGAATTGTGGCAAAGATGCTAAACTTAGAATGGTCATATATTACAAACATGGTAATAGGTATTTGTTGATAGTTTTTACATTACAACCATAAACAACAACATATTTTAAAGGAATTATAAGTGAAAGTCTGAAAAGCAATTATTATTTGTTGTAACCATTGGTCACACAAAGGGTAAAAGTTTTTTGCATCGAGTCGTTTAGGTTAATGATTGTAGCCTGTGGAAAGCTCCACGAAGTCACTAGAAATTGGCAGGAGCTGAAACACTCTGTCGTAAACACCAAATCAGAAAGCCCTGAACAGGCTCAAAGGTGTATGCTGGCCATGCAACCTGAATGTTTATCTGCTTCCAGGGATTATGCAACATGGATGGGGGCATTCACATCATTCAACGTGAGCTGATAGTCATGGACGACTGGCCCAACATCCCTAACTCATACATTAAACATTTCCCCATAATCTAACTGCCACAATGTGCCACTCGATCCACAATGCTGACATTAGCTACCTGCTCACTCAGCCATGCAAACTGCCCGGCACTTTGAAGAGGTGTTCTTTGATGAATGTTATCATTTTTCCACTAAAGTTAATTACAACAATGGAGTGCAATCAGCTTGAGACTTCGTCTAGCGTGCAGATAAGTTTCACTGAAACGGTTTCTGAAACATTGTGCAGAAATGCTTTGTTTATGCACACAGATTGTTGCAGTAAGTACTAGGTTGGCTGGTCTTGGACAATTTGATGCTGATTATGAAGGTACTATGTTAGCATTGTGAGGTTGGCTGAATGTACTACCAAACATTTTAAATTAGCTAAGTAGAGAGAAAGACATTCAGTTCAAGGGCAAGTGCTTTGCAGCATTTTATCGTATCATTGCCTTTTATTTTATTGTATTATGACATGCATAATCATGCTGTTATTTTAGGGTGTTGAAATGTCAGGCCTGTGAGGTGGATAGATTATTGCTCACCAGGACAGCTTTTGCCTGATTTGTGAACTATGTTAGCATACTATAGGCCTATTGCTTACTTTGACAAAGTCTTACATGACTTGCATCGTAGAGATTAGCTAATAAAAAATGGGAACAAGAAAAGGATGTGTTACAGTGTTCACTAAACATATCTAAAAGTATTTGGTGCACCACCTTCACAGACATTCAGACTTCACTGACATCTGATCCTTAATCCATATGTTTTATAAGAGGTGGGAATCTCAAGTTCTTCAACACCAAAAGTGTGAAAACATAATTCCCTTCCCTTTGAAACATTCTGCAGACAGTCAACAGAGAGAGAGAGAGAGAGAGAGAGAGAACTACTCCAGAGAACAGGTCTCTGCTACCATTCAGATCAAAAGTGTTGTGCTAATCAGAAGGACATATAAAGATTGGAAGTCTCTGTTGAAAATTATCGACCTTTCTGCCCTCTGTGCCTCATCATCTGCTATGAAATCTGCAAAATCTGCAATTAAATTTGGAAGTGAGTTGCTAATATTTTAAATAGATTCTTATTGCTCGCGAAACCAGCAACAGTTGACTCTGAAAAACCTTCTAAGGAAGAAGTTTCAAAACAAAACTAACTGCATCGAGTGGTGTCATATCACAGCAATATGCTGAAGTTCACTGGGTTCCTAAGTGCAACCCATACTTTCCAAATATTTGTAGAAGAAGTTTATATGTCTGCTTATTTTTATAAACCTGATGCCTTTGAATTGATGGGAACACCAAAAATCAATGAGTTGGAAGGGTTATTAAAGAGTTTTGGCAGGATATAGATTGAGGCATTGTCTCGTCGAACCTCGAAGAATGTGGGGCAAGACTTGATTATTGTTGCTCAAACACTTTCTCCATTAAAGTTATAGTGGAGAATGTTCTTTTTCCAGGTGGATCATCAAAATAGGTGGTCCTCCTACTTGTCAGTCATTCTGATGATATGTTTACGTAAGGCTGATCTACGTGCTCGTTCCAATTTTCACTTACCTGTGGTGAGTCTGATATAGTGGATAAATTGCAAATCTTTTTTTGAAAAGTAAGCTTGTCTGAGCGATGCAAACAGCACCTTTTAAACAGAGCGTGCAAAAGGAGAAATGGGCTCGTGCACGCTCTAGCACGTGTATAATAGACGTTCCCTCTCAGAAGCAGGTACAGGTTTGTGCATGTGCAATTTTTTTTAAAAGTGAAGAGGGTGGGTCTTTTCAAAATTCCCCAAAATCATCCACAATACTTTTTAAGTATGACTGATGTTCAACAAATAAAAATTGAAGTAGACTCTAATTTCAGGTGAAGGTAGCTTTACAAAGTTTTGTCCATGGGGACTATAAATAATTCCCCCAAACACCTACAGCAGGATTATTATTTGTTAGAAAAAAAAAAACTGTTGGCTCTAAAACTTCCCAAATATGTCCTCATTTGTGCATAAAAGTTTAGCTGATATCAATACTTTTCCAAGGTGCAAGTGTGACAGAAAGCAAAATCTGTGTAGTTTGCATCAAAAGTCACAATTAAATACAGAAATGCTTTAGCAGAACATAACAGAATTGGTGAACTAGAGTATCAGCTTGGAGAAGGAGCTGAGGAGGAAGTAATATAGGAAAAAACAGCACTTACAGATTTGCTGACATTTTATTTTTTTAACTGTTGAATCAGGCCACACCAAACCAATATATTGTGCTTAAACACTTTTTTTCCTTTCTACTAAAACTGAACAGCTGATCTAAAAAAAAAGAGAAAGTTTAAAGATCGACTCCCTCCCGAAGGGTAAAATGGAAACATTAAAATTAGGACATACCTTCATTTGTCTCAGATACTGAAGAGGAATTAATACCACAGTCAAACAGATATTTTTTGTAAAATAAATGTTTCATAAAATTTTATTATATCTATTCATTTTTTTTATTATTCAGTTACTGCTGCATTTTAAAGGTCTTATATTTTTTCACACCATGAGGGAAGAATCTGAAGATCTGACCCTAAATAAACAGGATCTCATCACATGAGGTCTTCCCTCAGTGGGATATGCTGTTATCAATGTGCTTCAATGCCCGCTGGTCTAAACAACTCCATGACATGTGACTGGTATCCTGTTTCACTCTGACAGTGAGAAGATCATGGGAAGTTTCTCTTTGCTGCCAGAAATGGCAGAAGAAAGTACTGATCTGCAGTTAGAAGAAAGCTTTATGAAGCAGCTTTTAGAGAAATACAGCCTCAAAGTAAAGGTAAGTAAAGTAAAATAGTTTAATTTCATAACATTTTTAGAATAAAAATCAGGGGGCTTTAAATAAAATGTGCAAAACACATCCTGAAAAAGTAGTTTAAGAGCAAATCTCCAGCCTCTTAAAAGCCTGACAGTCTGATTAGCAGCAACAAATAATATATATTTGAACCTGTATGGTGCCCTATGTAGAAAACGTTAAATTGTACAAGCTGTAAGTTGCTGTTTTGAATCATTCTAAGTGTCTTTCTTCAAGATGTAGGAGTTGGGACAAAATCATGCTCCTACTTGTGTAGAAACAGATAAGGATCACCTCTTCCTGTTTGAATATGGCTGTGCACTAAATGATGATGCTCTAGTTTGAACCTGCATAATATGAGAGCCCTTTGAACAACCTGTGAGAATAAGAGGTTCCCATACTGTATGTTAACCATTTCTTCTTCAGGTTTATGTCCCACACAAATTAACTCTTCATGCTTGTGTGATAGACTTAAATGGTATGATTAATTACCATTATTTAGGATCTATTTATTTAATTGAAATTTTCTATGAAAGGTTTTGATTGAAGTTTATTGTAAAAAGCTGCATATCTTGGGCTCAATCTTTTCTGTTGGTAAAATTCTTGTCCTTTAACTATTCCAAAGTTTTCTTATTTAGAGGATGGTCAAACTGTTTTGCTCATGTTTAACCACCAACTTGTGTTCACACTCTGCGGGCCTTTTTTACATTCATTTATATATCGGTAATCCACACACTGTTGGTGGTGAGAGCTGTTGTAGCCACAGCTGGCCAGGGGCACACTGTCAGAAGTGAGGCTGCCGTTCACAATGGTACCCTCTGAACACCAGTTAACTTAAAGGTACACTATGCAACCGGTGTTGATTTTCCAG